ACATGTTTGTGGTGAGGATTAAAGGGATAGTTCACCCAAAATTGAAGATTCTGTCATCATTTACCCATTTTTCAAACCTGATTGAGTTTCTTTCTTCTTTTGAAGACGGATGAAGACACACTGAAGAATGCTGGAAAAGACAGCTATTGACTTTCACAGTATTTTTTGATCCTACAATGGAAGTCAGCTGTGAATTGTAACCACTCAAGGGTGAATAAATAGTGTCAAATGTTATTTCTGGGTGAACTGTGCCTTTAATTTTTACACCAAACTGCAATTAGTGGATCATGTTGATTAATGGATCATTAAATGAAGGGTTTTCACTGGTGTTTTCCACAAGTCGTGACATGTAGACGCAGCAGACAAGCTCTTTAGAGGCGTTTACGCTTGAGGGAGGACCAGATGTCGCCAGTTTGGGAGTTTTCACTTTCAGAAGACACCCTATATTATTTAGTTTGTTTTTTTTTGGGGGGGTGAAATCACGAGAAACAAAAATATCTGAAAATTTGTAGTTTACATCAATTTTACAATATTTCACAATAATTTAAATGTATTATCTTTACATTTTTTAAGAATTTTTTTTTGGTGGCTAAAGAATTATTTTAATAAAAATATCTGTTTAATAAATCTGTTTTGTTTGAATTCAGCAAAATATAATACCTATATTCACTGAGAAATTTTTCAAAATATATACACACACACACTCACCGGCCACTTTATTAGGTACACCTTGCTAGCACCGGGTTGGACCCCCTTTCGCCCTCGGAACTGCCTTAATCCTTCTCAGCACAGATTCAACAAGCTACTGGAAATATTCCTGAGATTTTGTCTCCATATTGACATGATAGTTGTTTTAATAAAAAAAAATTCCTTTAACACAATGACCCTAAAGTCTAGACTCGGGACCAAACTAATTTAGAATGTATTTAGATATATTTATACACTTACTGCAACTGCACGAATAATGAAATAAATGCATAAATAATATTATTTTATAATTTAACAATATTTAATTATTGCATAATAATATTATAACATGTCAAATAATATTATGAATGTTTAAACATTAAAGTATGAAATCAAAAGCACCAGAATGTTGTGGCAGTTCAGTGAATCATCATTTCAATCAGTCATTTAATGGTTCATTCATTTGATTTGATTCATTAAACTGATTCATTCAAACAGCTGATTCACTCAGATAAAACCCCACTGTTGTCCTGCAACTACTTTCAGAAAAAACTCTTATGTTCAAACAAAACTTCTCAGAAAAGATCAGCACTCCTGCTTTGTGGTATCTTTTACCAATAAAGAAAAATAAAAGAAGGAACTCATACACACTTCTTGATTTATGGCTCAATTCATTCTACTACTAGTCGTCTGCATCACACAGTCAAAGCATATCATCAAATTCAGCATCAACTGCGTTAAAAACAACACCTTCCACACTATCACAGCCCATGTGGATGCAGATGCTCCGTCGCTGATGCTGAGAGCAGGCATTGACGGGTTCACATGATTCTGCACCATATGGTGCGACGGATTACACTCCATTTAGCAAGAATTAGCTGTAGATTTACTGTGACACATTTCTGCAGCTAAGACACTGGATTTACAGGCCCGCAACATCACCCAGAGTCATGAGAGTTCATCAGGTAGACCATCAACCTAAAACATCTCACTCGACTCAACCTGTTCATCAACAGACGTCGCATAAACAGCTGGTGTGTTAAACATGGCATGCTGTTAAAGCAAAGAAACGTGATACTTTGGGCCTTTGGTGTTGCTTTTTTATATATATCTGTACATTTTTTGTTCGGCTGAGCAGCCAGTTGAGGTTTATGTGTATGCTTTTGTTTTACTTTTGTTATTAGAGTTCATCGTTTGGAAATCTTCCTAAGAAACCAGTTACATTTCTTAATATCAAACATAGTGCCCACTTGCCGGATGAGGCCCACAAATGGGTTTAATGCAGCCGGCGGGATGATTCTGTGAAGCTTGAAACTGAGTTGCAAATATTAATTAAAAGAAACTGTTGTTCCAATTGGGATGGCGCAATAGCAAACTATTAATTTCAGAGAAGACATCTACAGCCTGCCATACCACACTGAGGTGATCTCACGAGGAAACGCAACTATTTTACGATTGGTCAGTTAATTCGTACAAGTTCAGTCGTATGAAAATGCACCACTTTAAAAAGTAGGTGGCACCCAACCACACCCCTAAACCCAACCGTCATTGGTGGATAAGCATAACGTATTAGATTGTACAAATTAGCCACAATGTTTGGAACCACATATCTCTGTTTTCTCTGTAATCAGCATGAATAAATGAACGCTCATGCTCAAGCACTTGAATCTCATCCTAAAGTTGGCCGGCATTCAGGATGTGACGCCTGATATTGATGCGTTGGTGAAAGCTAAAAGATGCCGGGTTTCAGGAGTCAAATAAACTATGCAACCTCACTTAGGGTGCTTTTACATCTGTGGTTCGCTTCATTTGGTTGATTTCACACCACACTGCTTGCTTTGGTCCGAACTAGTTGAAAAGAACCAAAATGCAGTCATGTGACAAATTCCACATCGCTCATTGGCCAGATGTTGTCGAACGCATTTCCTAAACTGTTGGTCAGAATTCACATGCTGGAAAATGCCAATGAACTCCCGCGAGTTTGTATGCATCACTTCAAGAATGCAGCACGGCTGCGGCTGGAAAACAATGTTTTAATGCATCTCAAATGGCGAAGGTGCGTCACTCGTCACTTCAGAAGGAGGCGTGAATTCATTTAGCTAAACTGCGACATGCTCATCTTCTGGAACTATCACCAACGATCCATCAGCTAATGTTTTCCTCTCTCTCTCTCTCTCTGTTGGTAAAGTGTTATCAACAAATATTTTTCCTACACATCCCATAATGCACAGCGCATCGGCCTATGGCAGCTGGATTAATCCAAAAAGGCGCAGTACTTTTTGCAGTCATCACAAACAAACCGCTGCAGGGTTTGTTTGAAAGCATACCGAGACCACTTCTTCAAGCAGGTCTCGGTACGCTTTTGTGGTCCGCTTTCGGTGCGCACTCGAGTACGATTGCTGCATTCACATCCGCCCAAACCAACCGCACCAAAAGGGAAAACCAACTCTAGTGCGATTCATCCCAACTGAATGAGTCAGGTGTGAAAGCACCCTTAAAGGGTCACGAAACACCAAAACACATGTGTTGAGCTGTTGGCAGTGGTATATGTGTCCCACACTGCTAAAAACACTATTAGGACACCTATATTTCACTAAAAAGCGTAAATTGGTTGTTTTGCGTTATTTCAAGCAAATTCGTACTTCCTGTTTGAAACGAATTTTTGAAGCTGCGTCACGGTCATGACATAATAGCGTGTATTCCAGCGTGCAGACTGGACGTCTGTGCCAGAGTGAGTCTTATTACGTCTTACAGTGTGCTGCATTAATGCATGAGTAAAGCTTGGTTCAAACCAATCAGCGCGCTCTATTGTGGAACTTCATTAATATTCATTAGTGTCACAGTGTTTACGCCACAAAGACGCCACGTTGTGTTGGCAAAACAAGCGTGAAGTGTTGCTTTTATAGTTTGCTGCAGTGAAGTTTTGTTTTCATTTTCTCTCTGTGAGAGCTCAGTCTCACGTGTGGATTAACAGTGTACGCGACGCTCGACAGCAATAACTTACGTGTCTAAGGAGGATTATTGTTTACCTGAGAGCTGTTCTCATCTGCAAACGCTGAAATCTGAATTCGCTTGTAGTATTCTCTCCATAAAGACGCGGCTCTAGTTGCTGGTGATTGTCCTGTCTCTACAGATTTGGTAAGTGAGCGACCAGTGCTCTTTGTTTATTCAGTTTGTTCGTATCGAATTAAGTTACTATTGCACTGAGTGCAGAAATGTTAGCACCGCATTTTGTGACCGGAATAACACACGCGGCTTTCTGATGCTACCTGTCGTGTGCATCTAAGTTTCCGGGAAATGCAGAGTTTTTTTCTCTCTCATTCGCCGTGCGGTATCAAACATTGCATGAAAAATACACGCTTGCAGCAGTTCCTCGAATCAAATATCTCGTTTGTCGCGAGAGGCATGAATGAATTCCCTGAATGAAAGAGCCAAACTGCAGTTAAAGTCCAACTTTTAATAATTTGGCAAATAATTCGACTACAGATGTCCATGTAAACACAGTCACATTGTCCGCTGTGGGTGTGTATTTTGACTCTGAAACTCGCGCGTGCCCAAATAGACACTCCCACACCATCCCACTTTAGTTCCTCCGACACTCCCCCCTAAACAGAGCTGGACACACCCACTTTTCTGACTTTTTCCAAAGTGGAGGTGTGAAAACACCCTGCTGAAACGAGGGGGTTTCATGGCCCTTTAAAGTGTTGAATGAGACACCCTGATATAGGTCTGCAGACATCCCGAGTCTCCCCTATATGCATAGAGACTCCCAGATGCACGCAAACGAAAGATAACCTCCTAAAACTCATGCCCAATCATGCCATTAAGTTACAAACACCAAGATTTTTCCAGTCCGGCCCACTTGTGTGAACAGATTTTACTCCATGTGGTCCCTGAGCTAAAATGACTTTGACACCCCTGATATTAAGCTTGTAAGCATTTTCCTAAGTGCAATTTTGGAAAATAAAAGATATCAGATTTGCTCTGAAGAACATTTTTTACTTTCTTTTTTTTGTTTATTTATCATGGATTTGCTAAAAAAGTCCTTTATTGACACTTTATTCAGCGAAGGACTTTTTATTATAGATGAATGTGCATTACTGGATTGTTTTGGACTGCTAATAAACCACTGCTATTGCAGAGCTGGAAAAGCAGATCATTTTTTTAATATAGCTCAGACTGGATTCGACACCCAGGATGCTTTGAGGGTGAATAAACCGTGGAATTATTTTCATTGCTGATGTGATATTCATCATAATGGCGAGTGTTGCGTTGTGTTTTGATGCAGGTGTGTTTGTGTGTGTGTCTCGTACCGGGTAGCAAACATTGCTCTGAGTGAAGAGAACGTGGCTGCGTCCTCCTTCAGCGCTTTGAGCTCGTTGCGAAGCTTCATCATGGTTTCGGTCACCATCGCCTTTTCATTCTCATATTTGCTCTTTAGGTTGGCCAGAGCCACTTCAGCAGTCTGAAACAAACATATTTACACACACACATTGACATGAACAAACACAAACACACACACACGTGGTTGTTTATTTGAACTGGTTGTTTCAGACAACCACAATGGCTGCAGTTCCTTTAATAGCCACAAGGGGGAAACAAACCAAAATACTTTTTATTCTACCTAAACTTTTGTCAATTGGTAAAGTTTGTTTGCAGTCACTGGCTTGCATAGTTTGGTACACATTCAATTTACTAGAACTTCTAATCGTGGCTGTTTATTGAAACTGTGGTAGTTTCAGACAACCACGATGGCTGCAGTTCCTTCAATAGCCACAGGGGAGACATGAACCTAAATACAGATGATGCGCGCATGCCTTTCACTTTAACCTTCAGGAGAGAGGGTCTGTTAGCTGGAGAGAGAATCATGGGAAAAATACTACACAGAGCTGGAATATAGGGAACAGGGATTATTAAATCGTTAGCTTTTCCACAACGGACGACCATCGACACAAGAATCTGCACAAGACTGGCTTTTCTCGAGGTTTTTTTTTCTTCACTTTCATCAATCGGTGAATTTTACTTGTCGTCATTGGCTTGCTTGTTTTGGGGTACAGTTTCAATTTACTAGAACTTCTATGCTAAGCTGCTTTGACGCAATCTACATTGTAATAAGTGCTACAGAAATAAAGATGAATTAAATAACCATCTAATCATGGCTGTTTATTCCAACTGTGGTTGCTTCAGACAAGCACGATGGCTGCAGTTCCTTTAATAGCCACAAGGGGAGACATGAACCAAAATACAGATAATGCGCGAATGTCTTTTACTTTCACTTTCAATTTCAAGAGAGAGTGTCTGGAAGCTGGAGAGAGAATCATGGGAAAAAACACTACACAGAGAATATAGGGAATAGGGATTATTAAATCGTGAGCTTTTCCACAACGGACGTCCATCGACCAAAAGCCTCCAGTGCCTGGACTGCAGCTCTGCACAAAATGTTTGGCCAGAGCCTGGTTTGTCTTGAGTTTTTCATTCACTTTCGTCAATCGATGAAGTTTGTTTGTCGCCACTGGCTTGCTTGATTTGGTACGGTTACAATTTACAAGAACTTCATCAATGTTAAGCTACTTTGACGCAATGTATGTGCGGTTTATTTATAAACTAATCTCGAGAGGATTACATGCTTATGATTGATCACGGCTGGTCCCCATCAACTACTCGTATTGCGCCAATCAGACGAATACTAACTCACTATAAATAACCAGAGCGTTTCACTTCAGTCATCTTCGTCTTGAAGAATCCACCCCTACCCCTCCCCCTTCTCCTGATAGGGCAGTATGGTGGCTCAGTGGTTAGCACTGTTGCCTCGCAGCAAGAACGCCACTGGTTCGAGCCCTTACCAGGCCAGCTTTCGTTTCTTTGTGGAGTCTGCATGTTTCCCTGTGCTCACGTGGGTTTCCACCGGGTACTCCGGTTTCCTCCCACGGTCCAAAGACATACAATATAAGCAAATTGACTAATCCAAAGTGGCATCATAGACCAACTTAGTCAGCCAAATCTCATAGCTGGGGAGCAGGGGAGTTCTTGAGACCTACCTGAGCTCAAACTCCCCTCTCGCCCTTTAAAAGGGAGGGAGCCCCGTGCTCGAGGACCATATGAGCTCAGGGCTCTCTCCCAGGACAGCATGCCAGACACGATTTATAATCAATCATCAGCTAAGTGTGAACACTTGAAATTGTAAAAAGCACTACAGAAATAAAGATGAAATGCTTGACGCTCACTTGCTTGTTTGCCTTCAGGACGGTTCTGAGCGTGGCGATCTGCTCCCTCTTGGTGCTGAGCAGAGATTTGAGTTTGAGGATTTCCTCCACGCTGGCCTCCTGCTCACGGTCAGCCCCGAGGCCCAGCTCCAGAGAGGCCATGCGCTGGCGGGAGAGCTCCGTGGTGCGGTCTACGGCCAGCTGAAGGTGCCGGATCTGGTCGCGGATGATGGCCACTAGGTTGTAGATGTTCATGGGCTCCTTGCGTGGATCGGCCACCGGGGATGGGATGGATGAGATGGGAGATGAGGTGCCATCACTAGATTCGGCGGTAGGAAACAGCCCGCGGGTTAGCAGGATTGGAGAACGCCGGCCGCGACCATCAGGGCTGCACCAACCGTTGGTCTGCGTCCCGTTCACACCAGATTTACCTTCACGGTAGTAATCCAGCATGATACGGTTGGGAGTTTCGTTGTTACACATGCAGACGTGGTGATACAGATTGGCTAGCTCCTCGCTAAAGGTGGCTAGCTCATCTTGCGCGATGTTAAGGCTGCCCTGCGACTCCCCTGCTACTTCGCTAGCCTGTCGGAGCTCTTTCTCTAGTCGTGCTAGCTGCTCACGCTCGGACCGGCTGCTGCGCTCCAGAGACGTGAGCTGTGCGTTTAAAGATGCGACCTGGCTCTCCAGCTGCGCCCGCTCCTCCTGATACTGCGACTGACAGGCCGAATGCTCCGCCTTGAGTGTTTTGAGCTCCTCCTTTAGTTGACTCGCTTCAGAAACGGCGACCTGTGGTTTTAAAACACCATTTTAACATGCTCATATTATTTTTCAGTGAAGAAAACACGGCACAACACATCTTTAAAGAAAACAATAGCAATTCGCACACCTTGTACTTGCACTGGAGGATCTCGGGGCCGTTGATGTCCACCTCGTAGTATTCGCTGTCCTCATGGCTGTCGCGCTCCTTCTCGTTATCCAGGGCGGACTGTCGCTCTTTGTTGGCCTGGAGTTTTCGGATGGCGTTGAGGTTTTCGGTGAGCCGTCCGACCTTCTCATGTTCCTCAGAGAGAGCTCCGTTGGCCTGCTCCAGCTGCTTCTGAGACTCCTGCAGCGTGGACAGAAGAGTCACCTTCTCCCGCTCCACCTGAAACAACAACAACGCACACTTCAGCTAACACAACACGCACACTTTAGCCAACACAACATTCACGCTTCAGGTTACACAGAGACCACAAGGGCAGCACCATATAGGGAAAATATGCGATATTGTTGCTGGGGATGCATAAAACTATGCGCAGACCTCGGTTATATGCGCTGGTGCAGGCGTTCATACGCGGGTCAGGGAATCAAAAAGTAGGCTACGTGAGGTTTAAATATCGGTGGGTCGCGCAGGGAGATATGATCAATTCTTGGTTGTGCAAACTTTTAACTACCTTGTAGATTTAAATATGCTTCTCTTGGTTTTTTTTCGATCATACAGCAAACACAACACATTATTCGAAACTTTTGTTTTATTTATATTTTAATTGTATTTAACTGACCATTTAGTGTTTTGGCTGCAGACCCTGGGGTACTTGACTTCACCTTAAATGTTTGTTCGTCTTGTTTATTTTCTAGATAACTGATCAACAAAGAATACATTAGAATTAAAATAAAAATTATACCAAACGAAATTCAAAATGCCAGCAGGTGTCTGTAGCCCCGCCTCTTTGCCCTTGTTTGGATCGCCTGGTTGGTGCGATGACGCGCGAACAAAATGGTGACAGTTGGCCACGCCTACTTGTAGCTTCTTTTGCGTTCTTTAGAAACCTATGGGTGACGTCACAGATACTACGCTCATATGTTTTACAGTCTATGGATTTAATTTCAATAATCAATAATCGACATGTCAATAATCGTGGATATTGGTAGGCACATGTCTCCTCTGTCCATGCTAGTTCTATGCCCTTATTATTATTATTTTAGCAGTCAGTTTTGCATTACTGCATTATCAGTCTCATTCTCCAGGCTCTTTTACTCTCAGTGAGATCTGCAGTGTCCCACATTTATAATCCAGAACAAGCAGAAGCTCCTTCAGAAGCTCTGAGCGTTAATTACAGGACTTGCTGAAACGAGCAGTGGTGTGATGTGTGTGGACATGCACTGACATGACTCAAAAATCTGCCTGTTGACTTAAAAACCTCAACTATTATGCAGTTTTGGCTCAATCCAGTGGCGGCGGTTAGCGGTTTAATCATTGTTTGCTAATATAAGTTGAGTTAGTGTGATATAAAAACACATTATGTTATTTATTTACAGCAAAAGCAGCTTTATAAGCAAAGACCGCTAAAGGAAGAATCTGTGGAAGAAGTACTAAAATATGGATATTAAATATGTGACCATGGATGATGAAACTAGTCATATCACCCTGCAGCCCAACACCGGTTACTCACTGAAGCTAAGCAGGGCTGAGCCTGGTCGGTCTCTGGATGGGAGAGCACATGGGAAAGCTAGGTTGCTGTTGGAAATGGTGTTAGTGAGGAGAGAAGGGGACATTTAACTTGTGGTCTGTGTGAGTCCTAATACCCCAGTGTAGTAAAGGGGACTCTATACTGTCAGTCGGCGACGTCTTTCAGATGGGACGTTAAACCGAGGTCCTGACTCTCTGTGCTTATTATTAATCCCATGGCATTTTTGGTAAGGTATAGGGGTGTAACCCTGGTGTCCAGGCCAAACTCCTTCCATCGGCCCTTAACTATCATGGCCTCCCAATCATCCCCATCCACTAAACTGGCTTTATCACTGTCTCTCCACTCTACTTATAGCTGGTGTGTGGTGAAGCCCTGGCGCTGTTGTCCTGTGGCAGCCGTCGAATCAAAAAAGTGGAGCTGCACACTGGTGGTGGTGTGGAGACCCTCCTCATGATTGTGAAGAGCTTTGGGTGTACGGCCATACACGATACATGCGCTATATAAATATACATTACATTACATTGCACAAATAATTTTTAGGAATAGCCAAAAATGACTGTTTATACAAATGGATAATTCTACACATAAATTAAATATTATCTTCCATTCTCTTTCTTTTAATTTGTATTTAGTAATATGCATTGCAGAAGAGATTAATTTAGAAAATCACCATTAATATTTTCCAAATCATAAAAATGTAAATCTCTTTATCTATATAAACTATTAAAATATCTTATCAGCATTTCAAATTTGTTAACCCTAGAATTTTTTACGAAAATACAAAATATTGATTTTAATTTTATGCCAAAAATCAGTCTTCCACTATCTCTTGTGTAAATTTTAAACAGTAATGTGTCATTCATAAGAGGTCAATTTAGACAATTTTAAAGGTGATTTTCTCAGTATTTTGATTTATATTAACCCTGGATGTTTATCAAGACAGAACACAAAACCTTAACACTAAAGATGCACTTTAGTTTTTTTTATTTATTTTGTTTATGCTATTGATAGCTGTCATGTAAGTGTTTGTTAGACAATTATTTGAGTGAATTGGATGGATGGATGGACGGACGGACGGACGGACGGACGGACGGACAGATAGATAGATAGATGGATAGATAGATGGATGGACAGATAGATGGATGGATGGATGGATGGATGGATGGATGGACGGACGGACGGACGGACGGACGGACGGACGGATGGATGGACGGACGGACGGATGGACGGATGGATGGACGGATGGACGGACGGATGGACGGACGGATGGATGGATGGATGGATAGACAGATAGACGGATAAATAGATAGATAGATGGATAGATGATAGATCGGTAGATGGATGGATGGATAGATGGACAGACGGATGGACAGACAGATATAGACAGACAAATGGACGGAGAGACAGACAGACAGACAGACAGATAGATAGACAGATAGACAGATAGATAGATAGATAGATAGATAGATAGATAGATAGATAGATAGATAGATAGATAGATAGATAGATAGATAGATAGATAGATAGATAGATAGATAGATAGATAGATAGATGATAGATAGATAGATAGATGGAAAGATTTCTTTAATTTAGCACAATTAGGATGATCAAGTCAGTGCATCTTCATGAAATATAATAAATTGCAAGCCTATATAAATAACAGCAATAAATAAAAGTGAAATAATCAGTGCTTTCTGTTTTTCTGGGCAATGTGACAGTATTCAAGTACAAAAATTGAACAATCGAACGTAAAATTACATGGTCATCATTGTATAAATAATAAACGAAAATGTATGTTTAATAATATGTTAGTCCAGGGTTGCCCAAACTCAGTTCTGGAGGGCCGGTGTCCTGCAGAGTTTAGTTCAAACCCCGATTGAACACAACTGAAGCAGCTAATCAAGCTCTCCCAGGTATACTAGGAACTCTCCAGGACTGAGTTTGGGCAGCCCTGTGTTAGTCCTTTAATCTTTTAAACTATTGCAGATACGCGCATTGCAATATCGATGCTCAAATATATTATTCAGCCCTAATACTGGAATTCGGTACCAATCGATAGTGAAATTTTAAGTTCTTGAACAGCGCTGATTTGCCATTGTGTTCACATGCTCAACAGAGATGACTGTGATTGGCCGTAAAGGTCATCAGTTCACCAAACCCGCCGCAGTTTACTGTGTGTAAACACAGATACAGGGACACTGGAGTGTTTTAAAGCCACGATTCATCAGCTGATTTGTCTATAAGCTGAAATACGAGTGATCCACTGATGAATCTTGGCTTTAAAACACTCCAGTGTGTCTGTATTTGTGTCTATATACTTTTAAAATGCAACACAAATGTTTCCCAATGTAATGTGATTTCTCATTCTTAAAGTCAGTGTAATTAAAAACGCAAAAACACAAACTCAAGATGTACTAGTCATCATCACAGGCATTGGGCTTGCTTTTCAGAGATGAGCAGAAGGAAGGGTTTATTTCTGTGTGATGTTTTGTGTCTCAGCTGTTATTTCCCGCTGTCTGGAATGGATTTGTGGATGATCAATAGGTCGTGAAGGCTATGTGAGGATCTGATTAGCATAATGTCTCATGATGTTTAAAGCAAACACTGCACTGCTGTGTGTGTGTGTGTGTTTCTAGCAAACGCTGATCAGGAGAAGAGTCGTGAAAGGTCAGAGTTTGTAGGTCGATTCCTGACAGATGGCTGGATTGACAGCTCATTGTGTCAGATGGAGGCGGAGCTTTAGATCTGACATCCACTAATAGGATTTCAGCAGTCCAGCTGTCAGCCAATCAAACACAGATCTAAACACACACATACACATAAACACACACTAGGACTGCATGACTGGGGGGAAATCTCATTGCGATTTTTTTTTTTTGGATGAGAACTAGGATTGATTGGGATTTAACAAGAAAATGCAGGTCAGCTGTGCTTATTGGTGGACCCAAGATTGGAGATTATATATGAACATGACTATAAAATAATTAATAATAATACAAGTCACCTTTCATATACATCAATGCGCCATTGTTTACTTCTTTTTAGCAAAAATGAAATGATAATGCTTTACAGAAGACACCTCAATGCACAGTTTTAGCTATTTCTGTGCTGTTTTTGTAAAAAAATTGAATTGAATAAATTGAATATGAAACTTTTCTTTAAAGTTAACAATGTAAATTCATGTAGATCCACTTTATTGGTAAACAAAGTGAGTCTCTCATTTAACATATCTACTAAAAGGCATAAAGTGCTACTTTACAAACTGTGTTGTCAATAAATAATCACCATTTCCATATTATAATAGTTATAATATATTGGATAATTATTTTATATAAATATTATTGAAATTATTATGAATATCAAATCAATTTTCAATGTTATCCAGTAGTTGTGTACTACTATGCTGACACACAGGCATCTGTAGCTCCGCCTCTTCTGAAAAAAGCACAATCTCATTTGCATTTAAAGCAACAGTCACCAAAAAGCCATAACTTGTCTCAAAGTCTAAAAGGGTCATTTTCAGAGAGCTAGAAAACATTATTTGTGTGCTATTTTGAGCTCAAACTTCACAAACAAACTCCAATGACACTTTTACTTTTCATTTTGTAAAAAGGGGTAAAATAGGTCCCCTTTAAAAATGCTAAACCATAACAACCTTGATATCAGAAACAGGGCAAACCTGAAGGCTTTACCTGCAGCAGCTGCTGTTTGAGCTTCTGGATCTCGGAGATGTTCAGCTCGTTCAGCAGGTTGTCCACCAGACTAGAGGACGGCTGGAAGAGCTCGCTTTTCTTGGGTGTGGAGACGCGGTTGTCGTTGTTGTCTGTGATTTTTTCGAAGCCGTTCTCATAGACGTGCAGCGGTTCGTCATTGTTGGGCTCGATGGAGGCGTCATCGCTGAACTTCAGGCCATCCAGAGAGATGCTCAGGGGACTGTGGTACATGGAGTCACTGATGCTCATGTACTGAGACAACTCCTTCCTCAGAGCCGCCTGTGTCAACACACAACAGCACGATTATAGAGTTGCATTTTAAGATCCTTGTGTATTGTTCAACTTGACTCCTCTTTCATTATGTTCTGGGCTGTTTTTGCCCCATTGACTTCTATTATAATAATAATAATAAATATAGCTGCAAGCAGCAATTAAGGGGCCAAGCACTTTTTGTCAAAAGGTGGCACTGCTCCAGAAGGTTGAGTACTTTCAGGGCATGGGGTTGAAGATGCATACCATGTTTTGTAATGATATGTGAATGTGTTGGTAAAATATAGCATTTTTGGCCAAAAATTGAAAATTGCCGACGCCCAAAATGGCTGACCTGTGAAAATCAGACATCATTCGATTCGACATGCTCTGCTGGATGTAATGAGACCAGTTTTATGAGTTTCCGACGAAAGGTTGAGACGTTATAAACAAAAATGCAAGTTTTTTTTGTATCTCCGTACCACTAGGGGGCAGTGCGTCGAAACTCCGCATATAACCTCAGACCCTAGTTGTCATAACACACACCAAGTTTGGTGGGAATCGGTGAATGCGTTACGGAGATATCGCCTCCAGTCCATTTTCGCAAGTTCTTCGTTAAATTTGATCGCAAGTTAAACAAAAACGGTTGGTTTAATCAACTTGAATTCCATAAATTTTGGTTGGCATGGTCTGTAGATCATGTGATTGAATTTTGGTGAAAATCGGAGAAACGGCCTAGGACGAGTTAGATCAAATAGGTTTTTCAAAAAATGTAAAATAGCGCGAAAAAAAAAATTATTACGGAAAATGACGTCATAGGGTGCGTTTGAATCGGACTGAGCCAAGGAATCAGAGGAAAAAAGAATTTTGATTGTAGCCCATTCGGTTCACAAATTATCCTGATAAACGTACGTGAAAGTTTGGACAAGTGGTGGCGCTAGAGAGTTTGATTTCGAGACTTCATATTTGGTCTGATTAATGATAAGACTGTCCTCTATCATTGTGCCAAATTATACAACTTTACCGCATACGCCTATATGGGCTGCCATTCAAATCCGGCGGAAGAAACGGAAGAAGAAGAAGAATAATAATAGGAACGCTAACGGATCCAATAGGTGCCTACGCAACTACGGTGCTTGGCCCCTAATAATCACATTTTTGATAGCACAGCCATGACAGCATATAATCACGCATTCCTGATTGTTGCTGGTTTCCCTGTTGGGAAAATGCATAATGTGTCATTGTTACTGTTGATCATTCGTGCATTTCAGTTTAGCTGTAGTTCGTTTCAATAACGAGAGCATATTTATTCAGAAAATAATTACGATATTTGTTAATTATAGTTTCATTTTTGTGTCTCGTTAGTTGCGTTTAGTTTTCTTGTTCTCTATTTATTTAGTTTTATTTTATTTGTTTAGTTTTAATTTATTGTGAATTCTTACATTTTATTTCTGTTAAATTGTTTTTGACTAATAGTTTTAGCTTTCGTTTACTCAAATAGGCTGAACACACAGCAATGCACATCATGAAGAAGACGAAGCCCACTTAATGCTGGTGTACTGGGGGTGGTTGCTATGGTCATATATATTGTTGCTAGGGTGTTCTGAGTGGATTCCAGAGGATTGCTAAGCAACTGCGGAGGCGTTTTTGGCAGATTCTTCCACTCTTATGTCATGACTCACAGCAGTCAACAGAAACCTATAGGAGATTTTTCTCATGATATCCACAATAGAGCCCAATCACTGAAGAGAATATTGCTTTATCAGGGCTCGCATAACTGCTGGCCCAACGTCCAGTCTATGTACCGAAAATTAAAGCCTATTTCAGTGCTTTAGAATTACCTCAAAAATGTGGTAATTATGTTGTATTGCATGTCATTTTCATGCACCCAGGACCCACTATTAATATGTGTTAGGATTTGTGTTTGCGCTTTACAGGACCGGTGACTACAATACCAAGTCAAAAAATAAAACAAACGAATAAAAGGTCATTCTACCAGAATTTCACATGTTTTTTTTCAGGGACACTTACATTTAAAAAAAAAAAAAATTCAAAAAAAAAAATGAAATCCAAATCAACAGATAAATAAATAAATAAAAATACTTTAACAAAATGTGTTCATTTTCAAAATATATGTAGCCTATATATATTGACCTCCATGTATAAATTACATCAATCACTCCAAAACACTTACCTGTCTTTTCTATTGCTTCATTTGTAAATGTATTTAGTCGTTTCACCTGACTTACTTTATGTTTTTTTAATCCGTCTCTAATTTTTTCTCTATTAAAGTCTCTATATTTTGCTCTGACTTTGTGCAGCACTTTGCTCAGTGTTGTGGCTGTTTTTAGATGTGCTTTATAAATAAATGAACTAAATGCAAGTATTTTATTTAGTAAATAATTCTAAATAAGTATTTTCTATTTTGGTCCCTTTGATTTATTTCAAACTACCAAAAACTGAAGAGTGCCTGACCGAAAGACTACAAGAGATTTAGAAAGTTTGCGAGCCCTGTTGTTAAAAATCCCAACAACTTGCCTAATTACCGTAATTTTACCCTAAATAACCTAGTGAACCTTTAAATGTCACTTTAAGATGAATACTAGTGTCTTGAAGAATATCTAGTCTAATATTATGTGCTGTCATCATGACAAAGAGAAAATAAATCAGTTATTAGAGACGAGTTATTAAAACTATTATGATTTTTAAAAACTCTGTTAAACAGCACTTGGGAAATGAGCTGTTTCTCATATGTTATAAGAAGTGTTTTGGTCGCATCACCCACTGATCACCCACGCTGATGATGATAATAAGAGTAATGTTGATATACAGTAAAACAGGTCTCGCCTTCTGCTCTCTCTCAGTCTTGATGGTCTCCAGAGCTTCTCCAAGCTGTCTCTCTGCGATCTCCTTCAGACGGATGGCATCCTCGAGCTGACTGTTCAGAAACTGAGTGTCCTCCTCCAGACGCCGGATTTCATGCTTCAGACCCTCAAACTCAACCTACAAACACACACAGGAGATGAGGGCTGCGTTCTAACGGTTATACTATTCTAATGTATATACTATGCCAACATTATTTTATTCTAGAGTATTTTCTATGCTAATGTTTATTCTATTCTAACACATGTTCTATGCTAACGTTTGTTCTATTCTAACGTATGTTCTACGCTAACTTATATTCTATTCTAACGCATGTTCTATGCTAACGTTTGTTCTATTCTAACATTTGTTCTATTCTAACGCATGTTCTATGCTAACGTTTGTTCTATTCCAACGTATGTTCTACGCTAACTTATATTCTATTCTAACGCATGTTCTATGCTAACATTTGTTCTATTTTAACGTTTGTTCTATTCTAACATTTGTTCTATTCCAACGCATGTTCTATGCTAACATTTGTTCTTTTTTAACGTTTGTTCTATTCTAACATTTGTTCTATTTTAACGTTTGTTCTATTCTAACATTTGTTCTATTCCAACGCATGTTCTATGCTAACGTTTGTTCTACGCTAACGTTTGTTCTATTCTAACGCATGTTCTATGCTAACGTTTGTTCTATGCTAACGTTCGTTCTATTCTAACACATGTTCTATGCTAAAGTTTGTTCTATGCTAACGTTTGTTTTATTCTAACGTATATTCTATACTAATATACACTCTTTGCTAATGTATATACTATTCTAACATATATTCTATGCTTATGTTTATTCTAACATATATTCTATGCTAACGTTTGTTCTATTCTAACATGTTCTATGCTAACATTTGTTCTATTCTAACATGTTCTATGCTAATGTTTGTTCTATTCTAACATGTTCTATGCTAATGTTTGTTCTATGCTAACATTTGTTCTATTCTAACATGTTCTATGCTAATGTTTGTTCTATTCTAACATGTTCTATGCTAACGTTTGTTCTATTCTAACATGTTCTATGCTAATGTTTGTTCTATTCTAACGTTTGTTCTATTCTAACACATGTTCTATGCTAACGTTTGTTCTATGCTAACGTTTGTTCTAGTCTAACCTTTGTTCTATGCTAACGTTTGTTTTATTCTAACGTACATTCTATACTAACATACGTTCTATGCTAACGTATATACTATTCTAACATATATTCCATGCTTATGTTTATTCTAACGTATATTCTATGCTAATTCTACAGTTCGACTCTGTGTATTCTATTCTAATGTATATTCATTCATAGTAATAAACAGCTCTTTATTCTCCATGGTGTGTAGAACTTTCTATTATTATCTGTCAAGCTTCTGAATACTGATTCAATGAAGTGAAAATGCAAATGACACATGAGCACGGGGCTGTGGGCCACATGAAATTTCATATGGTTTTTCTTAATATGATACAGGCCTAATATCCAGCAGAGCAGCGAGTGTCACCTGGCTCTGCTTGAGGACAGACACGTGTTTCTGCAGTGTGATGTTCTCCTCCTCCAGCTCGCTGTAGTCCTGCAGCAGGCGACACTCTCTGAACTTAAACTCCTTGATGTCGTCCCGCAGCCGAGACCTCTGCAGCTCCACCATCTGACTGTTCTGTGGGACAGAGGAACAACATCATCAGCAGTCTGAAGAATTGAGTTTATAATTCCATTCTAATGTATACTCTATTCTAAAGTCCAGTTTTAATGCATATTTTATTCTACGTTTTTAATTCTAATCCTATATATCATTCTAATATACACTCTATTCTATTGTAATGTATATTCTAACATTCTATTCCAGTGCTCAATTTTAATGTATAGTCCATTTTAATGCATATTCTATTCTAATTAATGCATATTCTATTCTAATTTATATTCTATTCTAATGCTCTATTCTACTCCAATTTTATTCTAATGTTCTATCCTTATGTATATTCTACTCTAATGCATATTCTAATGTTCATTTCTAATGTATATTCTATTCTAATTTGTTCTGTTCCAATGTATATTCAATTGTATATTCTATTCTATTGTATTTTATTCTAAATTACATTATCATAATGTTCTATTCTAATTAACATTTTATTCTAATGTTCTATTCTAATGAATATTCTAATGTATAAGACAATCTAACGTTCATTTTTAATATTCTATTCTAATATCCTATTCTGATTAATTTTCTATTACAATGTATATTCTATTCTAATGTTATTCTAATGTTCTATTATAATGTATATTCTATTCTAATGTTATTCTAATGTTCTATAATAATGCATATTCTATTCTGATTTATGTTCAATTGTAATGTAAACTACATTCTTATGTTCTTTTCTAATTTACAGTATATTCTAATTAAAATTCTATTTTAATTTTTTTCTAATGTATATTATATTCTAATGCATGTTCTGTTCTAATGTTGTATTCTTATGTCCTATTCTGATTTATGTTCTATTGTAATGTATATTCTATTCTACTTTACATTATAATGTTCTACTCTAATTGACATTCTATTTTAATGTTCTATTCTATTCTAATTTTATTCTAATGTTCTAGTCTAATGAATGCTATATTCTAATATCCTATTCTGATTTATGTTCTATTCTAATCTATATTCTATTGTATATTTTATTCGAATTTACATCTTATTCTAATGTATTTTACATTCTAAAGTTCTATTCTGATGTATATTCTGTTCCAATGTTCTATTCTAATGCATTTTCTATTCTAATGTTTATTTATGCTGCTGTATTTTACATTCCAATGTTCCATTCTAATTTAATTCAAATGTTCTATTCTAATGTTTAATTTTATTCAAATGCATGTTCTATTATAATGTTCTACTCTTATGTATAATATATTCTATTGTATTTTACATTCTAATGTTCTATTCTAATTCTATTGTATATTCTATTCTAATATTCTATTCTAAGGCATATTCTATTGTAATGTATAATATATTCTAAAGTTCTTTTCTAATGTATATTCTATTGTAATATCCTATTCTGATTTATGTCCTTTTTTAATCTTTATTCCATTCCAATGTTTTATTCTATTGTAATGTATATTCTGATGTTCCATTTCAGTGTTCAATTCTAATGTATTTTCTATTTTATTGTTCTATTTTAATGCGTATTCTATTCTATTGTAAGTTCTATTCTACTGCATTTTACATTCTAATGTTCCAATCCAATTTTTAATATATTGTAATGTTTTATTCTAATGCATATTCTATTCTAATATTATTCTAATGTCCTATTCTAATGTGTATTCTATTCTTATGTCATATTCTGATTTATGTTCTATTATAATGTATTGTATATTCCATTCTAATATATTCTATTTTAATTTATATTACATTCTAATGTTCTATTCTAATTTACATTAAATTCTATTATATTGTGTGTGTGTGTGTGTATATATATATATGTATGTATATATATATATATATATATATGTATGTATATATATATATATATATATATATTTCTAAGGTTCTTTTCTAATGCATATGCTATTCTATTTTATTCTAAAGCTCTATTCTATTGTGCATTTTGTTCTAATGCCCTATTCTGATTTGTTCTATTCCAATGTATATTCTATCCTAATGTATATTCCATTCTAATGTATATTTTATTCTAATATCCTATTCTGATTTATGTTCTACTCTAATGTACATTCTAACATGTATTCTATTCTAATCGAAAGCATCTAAAACACGACAAAGAATCAAGCAGGAATCTGCTTAGTTTTGTTTTTTTGTTTTTTTAAGCATTAGCTATTTCCCATCCAAAGATGTTCATTATATAAATATATGTATATATATATAAAGTGCCACTTCCTAATAACCCGATGGTCAATGAACATTTATTGATTATCATCAGTGTTGAAAACGGTTGTGCTGCTGATTTACATTTTTGGATCTGATACAATTCTTTATTAAGTGCAAAGCTCAAATTAATTAATCAAAATATTATTTGTAACATTACTTTCTGGTTATTTGTAGTCAGTTTAATGCAACCTTACTTCAGCATCTAATCCTAAAGTGCCCGCAGACTTGTGAATGGTCTTGTGTTGTTTGAGCTGTTTACTTGAGTTTATCTCTCCATCTGTACGCCTCCATCTTGATTTTTTCTCCATCTGCTGCTCCGCTCAGCCACACACAAAAACACATTTCATTTCACCTTAAACGCATTAATCCTCCAGAGGACCGCGCCGGCCTTTAAATCCTCGCCCGCGTCACACCATCTGTCTTTCTCACAGGGAGGTTATTAATGTAAATGTTTCTTTTATTTCCCGCGGTCACTCTTAATCCTCATATTTAACTGTGGTAAAGTGAGAACACACTGGAGGCCAGACATTGATTCAGTGTCGGATCAGCAGAAAGGTCACATTGCTGGAAAAATATATATTATAATAATAATTAGATATTAATAATTAACTAGATATGAATTACTATTTAAACATCTTTACCATTTGATGGTTAATCTCACACGTCTGCCATGTTTGTAGTTTGTTGACAATTTTGACACATGTTTGTAGTTCTAATCGAATTCTTGTTCAACACGCAATGCATTGTGGGCAATTGGAGTACAGTCGGTTCTACACTTCGAATTTCTACTAGAAATAGACCATCCGGCAACCTTTGGCATACTCGTTTTAACGTAAAATGTCCCAAACCGTACTATTTTCGTATACTACGCAAGACGGATAGTATGCAAATATGGAACCAGCAGCAGACTGATGTACTGACCTCTCTGAGCTCCTGCGTGATGGTGGCGAGCCGTTCGTTCTCAGACTGGACGTTGGTCAGGATGGTGCGTGTTTGTCGGAGTTCGGCCTGCAGCTCCTGCATGCGCTGCTCGTAATACGCTTCTTTGCAGGCAGACTCCTGGATGAGCGACTCTTCGCGGCTTTCTCCATCAGCCGCAACCTTCCGGTGGTTGGAGTGAGCCTGTCCGAAAGCCTGACAGACAGAAGAATTGCAGAGATTAGAGAAAAACACAGTAAAAACTTCATATACAGACAGAGACACACTCAATATACGAGCTGCTGAATGTATTATTGACGCCACTTTAGTTTGTCGCAAATCACGATATTAACTACCCATTAGCTGACACTACTACAACTGGTTTAATGAACTACTAATGAGCTGTTTATTACTATTATTATTATTATTATTATTATTATTATTATTACTATTACTATTGCTAATATTATTATTACTATTACCATTATTATTATCATTATTACTATTATTATTATTATTATTATTATTATTATTATTATTTAAACTAATATTACTATTATTAAAATTATAACTACTACTGTTATTACGATTACCATTATTATTATCATTATTACTATTATTATTATTATTATTATTTAAACTAATATTACTATTATTATCATTATTACTATTACTGTTATTACGATTACCATTATTATTATCATTATTACTATTATTATTATTATTATTATTTAAACTAATATTACTATTATTATCATTATAACTATTACTGTTATTACGATTACCATTATTATTATCATTATTACTATTATTATTATTATTATTATTATTATTGTTATTTAAACTAATATTACTATTATTATTATTATAACTATTACTGTTATTACGATTACCATTATTATTATCATTATTACTATTATTATTATTATTATTATTATTATTTAAACTAATATTACTATTATTATTATTATAACTATTACTGTTATTACGATTACCATTATTATTCTCATTATTACTATTATTATTATTATTATTATTTAAACTAATATTACTATTATTATTATTATAACTATTACTGTTATTACGATTACCATTATTATTATCATTACTACTATTATTATTATTATTATTATTATTTAAACTAATATTACTATTATTATCATTATTACTATTACTGTTATTACGATTACCATTATTATTCTCATTATTACTATTATTATTATTATTATTACCATTATTATTATCATTATTACTATTACTATTATTATTATCATTATTACTATTACTATTATTATTATTATTATTTAAAATAATATTACTATTATTGTCATTATTACTATTACTGTTATTACTATTATAATTATTATTATCATTACTACTATTATTACTATTATTATGATTACTAACACCACTACTATTACAACTACCACCACCACCACATTAAATTAAAAAAGAAAGGACTTCTCATAGGAGCATGCAATGATAAACTAATAGAGCAGAGCTTGTGTAGCACTGATATTTCACAGGAAACACACATCTCCTCTGAGTGAATCATCTGTGTTGTAGGTTGTGTTGAATCACTCACTCCTTCAGTTCAGAACAGCTGTAATTTAAGCAGCTCAGAGTCCGCTTGTGCTCCCATGACTATTGCTGAAACCACTGGAGGAAGGAAATGTTTCCTGTTTTCCTGCAGTTCAGCCTCTATATAAAGCAGGACCTTCTCAACCATGCAAAACCATCAGCCTAAATAAAGGTTTATTCCACATGAAACACTGTAAAAATGGCAGAGAGTTTAACTGTATTGTTTTTTTAATCGCCACTGTAAAATCTGTTATCCGCTTAACAGTAAGATTCCTTAATATATTCGGTAATTAACTCTGAATTGATCTTCCCAGAATTCCCTGCACTGCACAAATAAATGCAATTTCAAATGTAAGAAACTGTAAAAATGCTACAGTAAAATCTATCATGTGGTTAACAGTAAGATTCCTTAATATATACAGTTAATTACTGTAAATTGACTTTCCCAGAATTCCCTGAAGTGCAAAATATGGAGGTGATTAACATAGATACATACACTAGATGTCGCCTGGCCTATTGTTGTCTATTGGACGGAATGCGTCAATAGCGCCGCCATCTTGGTACAGGGTAGCGCTCCTTTGAAATGAATGCGGGACCAAGGTACAGTGGAGGACTGTGGCCAACCAAAGCCAGAGATTTACACATATACACATATATCTGTGATCGGGAGTTTTCCTGGATGTTAGTATGCAATTTATTTTTTCTAATTACGAAAATTTTAATTTTACATCACTTTTCTACATTGATGGATCAGTGACCGCACGGGCATTCCTGACTGAAAGCTTGTGTTTGTGTGTACAGAAATGTACTATTCACCCTCCCTGTAAAATCTGATCTAATCATGTCCTGAAACACAGCTCCTCTCCTGCTTTCACTGCTCATACTGACGGAGGGAGCGATTCGTTTCTGAATGAATCCCCCGAACGACTCTTTCACTAACGTTAGTCGACAATAATGCAAGTTTCTGGCAGCGCAGCATCTCGTTGTCATATTTCTTTTGCATTGTTTGCTGATTTTATTCAACAAAACTAGCATAAGCCGAGTGTTTAGTGCGAGTTGGAGCTGCTTTGCCGTATGGTGAATGCAGTAAGTGACTGTTATCATCAATAACGTGACCTGACTAGCACAACAGTTCAGAACATACAAAAACAGAAAAAACTTAATATTACCTATGAAATGTTCTGCCTTTGTGCTTTGTTTTCTTTGTTTGCTCGTTACTACACCAGTAGACAGCGCTAAAGTCCCGCATCTTCACGTAATAACACTGTCTTGACTAGTGCGGTTGAATGACATTTGTCCTGGGAGCACTGTACCAATATGGCGGCGCTATTGACGGATGCTCAGGGTCTCTATGCCATATCTAATGTATAGATCTATGGTGATTACAATACTAAAAAAACTGTAAAAATGCTACAGTAAAATCTATAACCTGGTAAACAGTAAGTTCTTAATATATACGGTGAATTACTATAAATGCACTTTCACAGAATTTCCTGCACTGTAAAAACTGGCTGTGATTTCAACAGTAAAATAACAGTAAAACTGCTGGAGTAAAAATCATTAACCTGTTTAACATTAAGTTCCATTAATATATAGAAACGATAAATAATCGTACACTGACATTCCCAGAATTCCCTCCAATGTAAAACAATTGCCGTGATTGAGATAAAAAAAAGTAAAAATGCTACAGTAAAAATCCTTAACCTGGTTTAAAGTATGTTTTTTAATATATATATATATATATATATATATATATATATATATATATATATATATATATATATATATATATACACACACACACACACACACACATATATATATATATATATATATATATATATATATACACACACACACACACACACACACACACATATATATATATATATATATACACACACACACACACACACA